TGTGTGTGTGTATGTACGTGCGTGTGTGTATGTGTTTGTACATGTGTATGTGTGTGTGTGTATGTACGTGCGTGTGTGTATGTGTTTGTACATGTGTGTGTGTGTGTGTGTATGTACGTGCGTGTGTGTATGTGTTTGTACATGTGTATGTACGTGCGTGTGTGTGCGTGCGTGCGTGTGTGGGTGTAGAGCAAACACTGTACATAAGCAAATTTGGGCCTTTTGAGCGTGTGGTTTCTGTGAACGCAGCACTGTATCTTACGTTATGACCGACCTGGTAGGGGGAGAAATGTGTCATTTTTAGCTTTGTGATCTTCCATGGGTGTCATGTTTAGCTTTGTTATATCTTCCATGGGTGTCATGTTTAGCTTTGTCATCTTCCATGGGTGTCATGGAAGTTGGCTGCTCCTGGCTGCTGAGATGACGTTCTGTGTACAGCATGAACTCTGGGATAGGCTGATGTCATTTCCCGTCGCTGTTGGTTATTGTTTGTTGTTATCATGAAGAAATTGGCTCACTGAGATGGTGGTTCGCTGCTGGGCAATAAAACAGTGACTGTGGTACACCGCTCCCTGACCTCATTCTGCCTTCCCTTCTTTCTCCATGTGCTGTTTGTATAACTTTGTCATTGTCATATTCAGAAGAATGTTTCTCTGTGAGCGTTTTGATGCCAAACTCATTACAATAATCCAATAATATTGAAAGAGTTCATGAATATTTAACTTTATCCGTACGACGTGGGGAACTCTGTGCCACCATTTTCCAAAGAGGAAATTTACTCGTTAATCCGATCCGTATGCTTTCCATAGCAGTCTGTCAAAATGATTTTTTGTGAAATACTGAAAGTTTCAGAGATCTTGGTAGCAGAGGTATTCTAAAATGTGAAGGAAAAAAAATGACCCCAGGGCGTACGCATAAGGTTAAGATGTTCATGGTGAAATAGGAAAAACACGATTCAGTGTCAAGAGACAACAATTCAGTGTCAAGAGACAACGATTCAGTGTCAAGAGACGGCCCACCCAGGAACCTGTCATCCTAGTTTTCTGCATTGAAAATTTCTGAATTCTGTGCAGTATTTTACTCCTAAAATGAGTAAATTCCGCAAGGAATGCGACGTCCAAACTTCTTTCTCCGTGCTGCTTTTGTTCATTTTTTTTTTTTAAAAAGTTTCCGGCACTTGCAACAATAAGGTAATAAAAGTAGGTACGGCAAACTGGCCGTGCGCCCCCGTGGCGCACTGTCACCGAGACCAAAACCCACATATTTATCCTCCTAACACACTGTGTGATCATGCATACACACAGACACTTGATATATCAGAAGAAAGAGGAGCTTTTCCTCTTTTTAGTGGTATTATTTATTTGAATCAACGATTCTTTTGAAAGCAAAATCTTGCGGGATAAAAGACAACACTATCAAGGTTTTCACCGCAGCGGCCGCGTGTTTCGTGTATTGATTTTTTGAGTGACCTCGGTTGAACAGGAACGGGGAGCGTATGGTATTAAATACTGCAATCTGATTCGTCGATATTTCAAGTTGAGAAGACGCTCTTTCCGGTGATATATTTCTAAAGACTGTCCTTAAAGAATTAATAGAAGAGATTTGCGTGTGAAAACTTTCGGTGCTGTTTTTTTATGGAACCAGTGATCGGACTGACTACAGAAATATATCGGCAGAAAGCCCATTCATTCCTCTTCGAGAATAACACTGCCATTATACGCAAGTGCCGTAAAACTCTTACTAAAACTAAACTAAAATAGACACCGGACGCTCCCCGTCGGCTCGCAAGCAGGGCACCATCGCCCCGGTTTCGTATAAATTCTCTCTCCTTCCCTTCAGCGCGGCCCGGCACGCAGCCGATAAGCCGGTGGTCGCGAGTGGTGATTTTTCACCTCCCCTTGTATTTCTTGCCGTTGTGGTCAAAAAGCCATGTTTACGTCAATAAATTTCCATCTTCTCGTTATTTGATAGCCCTGAAAAAACTGAGCTTGTTTTCTATGTTCATGGGTGTGTGTCTACAAGTTTTTGTGAACGTCCATTCTAACTGAAGAATGTTGTGACATCTCAAAGTGGAGACATTTCGCAATTAAAAAACTGTAACATTTTTCTGCAACTTCAGATGTTCATAACTTTGTTAAAAATGAAGCTATATATGTATAAATTTGGTATCAAAATGCTCAGAACGATCAATTCTATAAGGTGGTGCAGTTAACTATAACATCAGAGGACTTTGAAATTTCAGTTTGTGGTACCTACATATAAGTGCCGAAGATTAGAGGTGTTACAAGAGAGTAACAAACTCAAAAAAAGAAAGAGGAGCGATAAAGATGATAGATGTTTGATAGGAAAGAAGGAACAATCCACACCAGAGCACCCGCTAACCACCCACCATACTGCTTTGAAAATATAAAAGTATCTATACTATTAGTTGCAAGGTGACAAGTAGCCCAAGACACACAGAAGTCCCAGCTATTGGACAAGAGACAACGATTGGACAAGAGACACAATTGGACAAGAGACAACGATTGGACAAGAGACACAACGATTGGACAAGAGACAACGATTGAACAAGAGACACAACGATTGGACAAGAGACACAACGATTGGACAAGAGACAACGATTGAACAAGAGACACAACGATTGGACAAGAGACACAACGATTGGACAAGAGACACAACGATTGAATAATAGGACAAGAGACACAAAAGTCCCAACAACTGGCAGCAGACTATTTGACTCTCCAACAATCTGTTTTTTAGTTCACAGACACACGCTGACGACATGGGCCGGTTCTCCTACCGGCCAAGACTGGCCGTGTTTACTAAGCCAAAATCCCTGTGTGTAACAACCACTACCTTAGTCATTTGGGCAACGCTGAAAGTAGTAGCAGTAGCAGTAGCAGCGGCAGCAGCAGCAGTAGTAGTAGTATAGTAGTAGTAGTATAGTAGTAGTTGTAGTAGTAGTAGTTGTAGTAGTAGTTGTAGTAGCAGTAGTAGTAGTATAGTAGTAGTAGTTGTAGTAGTAGTAGTTGTAGTAGCAGTTGTAGTTGTAGCAGTAGCAGTAGTAGTAGTAGCAGCAGTAGTAGTAGTAGCAACAGTAGTAGTAGTAGTAGCAGCAGCAGTAGTAGTAGTAGTAGCAGCAGTAGTAGTAGTAGTAGTAGCAGTAGTAGTAGTAGCAGTAGCAGTAGTAGCAGTAGTAGTAGTAGTAGTAGTAGCGTTTCTAGCACAGACGTTCACGCTAAATAAACTACTGTCCCGCAGAAACACTACCATCAGATGTACCTATAGTCTTAGACAATATTATACAATCACGCAGACCCTACTATTGCCAGCTTCCAACGTCTACTTCACTACCATCCAGGGTTGGTGATTTTTTTTATTTTTAAAAATTTAGATCAAGATTTATTTTTTTTATCGGATTTTTTTTTTTTTAATGTCGACACAGTTTGGGATTTTTGGTGGCTAAAAGTATGTTCTTTTAGTGCAAAATGCATTGTCTTTATTTTAACTAAACTAATGATTAATTTAAGCAACTGCAAATTTAGAAAGCCTTAATCTGCTATATCAGTGAATTATGGCTACAGACAAAAAAAGAAGA